GGAGTGTTAGAGGGTTTTATAACAGATAAAAGCTGCTAAATGGTAACTAAGGCTAGGACCATCCATGCAAACACGGGTTATTTATTTTCATTGTCTGTTTGCTGCTACGAGACATTGAGTTTCAGAGGACAGCTTACCAGTAGCACATTTTGTGAGCTGTGCAGGAAATAATGAACTTTGCCTTTTTTATTCTTCACAAACAGGAGAAATACTAAATTGTTGCAGCCTTGCTCATACTGCCCATCAGCAAAACCAACTTTTGCGGTTAAGAAAAATCCAAACGCATCTGTCACAGTGCATGACACAAGGTCAGAGAGTCAATTTAGTTAACTGGATCATGTGTTTCCGGAGTCTTAGGCAAACAACTGTCAGTGAGAATCAGCACAGTGAAAATGAAGCATGCACCATCTTCTCCAATGTTAACGACTGCTCAGAGTACAGAAAACTGAATACATTTCACATTGTAGTCGTTGCAAGGAGATATATACATTTTAATAGGATTCTGTTCTGGAGTTACATTATTGCTCTGATCAATTAAACGTTATTTAATGATTCACCACTTACAAGGGTATTATATATAATTCTTACTCCATTGACTTCAGTGAAGCTTCTACTGATTTTTTCCAGAAAAGATAACTAGTTCTAAGGAAAAATATTTATTTCCTGTGTAAGGCCTAAGTATCAGCAAGTTAAAAGTAGCAACTAAATATAGCAACCGCTAGATTACTTTTGCAATTCACACATGAGGAGATTTGGGTTAGCACATCATAATTGTTTACATCTTTGATATTGGTTTAACTGCTAAGCAGCAGAAGAATAAGCACTACTTCATGTAATGACTGTATTTCCACCAGAACTGTAGCGACCTGCCTGTTGCGCTTTCTTGGGGCATTTTATTTTCAACTCTATCCATCATATGCTACCGTTACAGAAGAAAAGATGAAGATTCGATTCTGGATCATCAGATTAGGTGGCGTGGGTGAATTGCTGAAATAGTCATGTTAGTTCATGTGTTGTAGCAGGTTATTCGAATACTCACTCACCTTCATGTTTCATCCCTTAACACACCTTAACTCTACTCGTTCTCAGTGTAAGAAATGAGTAAAACTGGCGACTCCTTGTCTTGGGCACCGACTCTTTGCCCAGAATGCTTATTTCCAAAGATCACTCTCAGGTTTTTGTATCTCCTTGTATCTGGCAGTTAAAGCAATGATTTCACTCTGCAGTTGGGACCACATGCATGAAGCCAGTCTCCACCACTCAGCTCTCAGCTGCTACCTGTTGCATCAGAGTAACCTGATCAGCCATGTTGGCTATCAGAGATATTCGGCTTCATCGTCAAATTTTCCATCAGACAAAAATAAACCATACAGTCCTGAAGTGCAGTTAACCACTTGGATCAAAAAATGATAAGCTGCAGATACTCATATCCCCATGATATCTAACGCTAACAAGACATCATTTAGTTTTCTGATTGAATAAAAGCTGCTTCTTCAATCTCTCTTTTTTCACAAACGTCCTGCCTCACATGAGTTTTACCAATGACCAGCCAGGCTTTCAATTGACACAAAACTGTTAATAAAACGAGTAAATTTCCAGTTTATGGAAAATGGTGATGATATTTACTTACCTTTGTGTTGGAAATGTAAATAAAATTGCATGCATCCTCACTGGTGAGCCACTTTGGGAAACATGCAGACATATGCACCCACTCAGACCATGTGCATCGCACCCCTGTGTGAGCAGTACCTTTTCTTGCCAAGCACCGCGGTGCCCTCTTACAAGGAACCGGGGAGCACAGGCAAGGAAGCAGCAAAGTCTGCACCCTCTTGCGAGGAAGAAATAGGTTCTGTGTTACACACTACTGAAAGATTCCCAGAGAGCTGAGGAATCTAAATGCAGAAAGCCTGACAAAGATTACTGTAACTGAGAATCTAAGACACAGAGAGATTAAAATACCTTGCCCAAAGCCTTTCCGGAAGATCACATCAGAGATGGAAATTGAACTTAGCTCTCATGAGTGAGTATCAAACACAAGACTTTTTTTTTTTTTTTCTTTCCTTTACGGTACTAGAATGTGTAAAGCATTTCCTTATCACTAGAAATTTCATAAAGCTTGGCCACTCAGATCACAATACTTAAATGCATATTTTTAAGGACCTTATGTCCCTTGAACACATAAATGACTTTTGCTTAATTCAAGAGAAGTGGCACATGCATACATCAGAACCACATATTATTTTTTTCATTTGCAACATTTTAAAACAGATATGCCACATTTATATGCCTACATTTATCTCTGCTATCCAAACAAAGAGACACTGCAAACCAAAGCCAGCAACAATATTAAAGGATCAGGTATTCATATTTGGGAATGCACAATATTTTATGGAACATAAACCTAACAATATCCAACAGGGGAAGAGGGTGTGAGAAGATGAAAGAGGTTAACACAACACAGTTATCAGTGGTGGATAAACTGAATGCATTATTCCTGTTCAATAAGTCCTACACATGAGAGCTAAGGAGCCAGTAGGAAGTGGATTTCAACAGGTAATGGAAAAGCATTGTACACAGCCTCTAACTACTGAGCTCTGGAACTGGTTACCACAGCAGCTTGTGGTGGAAGTCAGTATCAGCTGGTTCACAAAAGGATACACAAATTCATGGGCTGACGTATCTCTAATAAGGTTTAAATACTCCAATGCTTCTGGAGAGTCTTGCAAAAAAACCCCAAAACCCAAAAAAACCCCGCTATGCTCATCTGCTTTCCTTGGTGAATGTACACGAAGCTAGATGTGTAGTTAGTGTACGTTTCACTTGTACCCTGGGGCACCTCTATAGACAGATGTTCCTATCTACATGAGATTTTAGCGTTATCTACTGTGGAAGGAGTTCAACGTTCCCTGGGAATCCAGGCTTACATGGTTTTCAAGCAAAATTTCTGGAAGATGATGATGGAAATGGAATTCCTAAGGCAACTGAGCCCACGCATGCAAAGAAAACATTAGAAAGAGATGTCCTGGATCACATACGACCAAGGCTAAGCTCTGCAGCATCTACACATTGTTATTTTTCATAACTGGAAAATACTCTTCCCACTAATTGCAATTATTTTCTACAGTACAGAAGTAAACCATAGGAGAGGTTTTGCATGAGTGGCCCTAACTTCATGCATATTATTGTCACCTGATCTCTCTGTATACAATGGTGGAGATCTGTACTTTGCTATGTGTACAGTAATGATTCCATATACGCTTACACTTCCTAAGTAATTCTTCAAGAAGATTGAGACATTTTAAGAAGCACAAACCATTTCACTTTTGTGTATGATTCTAGAATGTACTTCTTTCTAGCTCATAGAAAACCACCTCAAGCCTTATTTTAGACTCCTGTCATAATATTTTCAGGTTTGAGACACAAGATTTCAGTATTTTCTACACCATCAAGATCTGTTCCAATATTAAATAAGATAATCAGAAAGCTACTCATATGAGAAGACTACTCTGAGCCAAGACTTCAGGACTTGGCTTTATTTCAAGCCTTAAAGAGATGTCTTAAAAAAAAAAAAAGAGAGGAAACTAAAGTGCTCAAAATAAAATAATTCAGCTTTGCCTCCTGGGTAACACTTTCCTGCTTCCTATGGAAAGACTCACTCTAAGAATTCTATATATATGCCTTATCCTGTTTCTCTTATGTATATGCTTGTCCTTCAACTTGTATGCCTCAAGATTGCCACTTGTAAGTTAAGTTAAGCAGTAAAACTGGGATATATTTGGAGCCTTTAAAGTAACCATTTCCCAATTATGCTTGTCCACTAAGTCTGTGAAAACACTTGCATTAATTACACCAGTACTTTTAAAGTTTCATATGAAGTGAAGTGAAACACTAAACTTCTGGAGGTCACAGAATAGTTCTCCAGAGAAAACTCTTCTCTAGAGAGGAGACAGTTCTCTAGGTATGCCAGACAAGTCCAAAAGCAGTAGGAAAAAATTCCTCAACCTGCTGGCTAACCTCGTGCTAATGCAGCCTGCCACGCAGTTAATACTCATCACCATATTGGTTTCATGACAACTTATACTCAACTTGTCAACAAAAGCCCCATATCACCTCTTACAATCACTAGGCTATCATATTTTTATTTTTAAAATCTAAAAAAACTGAGTAAAACTCAACATAGGGAAATGACACATTGAAAGTAATTTTTTTATGACTTTGATATGAATTTGCTAGCTTTTTATTATAGTGCTTTCAGTCATATTTAATGGCTCATGCAAGCTGTTTTTACACAAATGATGTGCCAGTCCACTAACTCTGCTAAGGACAAACCTTGGCTTCCTCGAGGAAATTACCTATGCTTTCCGCAGATCACCAGCTGAGAGGTGAAGCTGTGACCTGTTAAGCCTATTGGTCCCTCAGGCTATGAACACATTACAAGACAGCAATTGAGTCAATAGAACATTGTCTTTTCCTTTCCAGAATTACAAGCAGCAATTATTCATTCCTATCCTACCTTCAAGATAACTTACTTGTCCCTTTTCTTAAAAGTATTCCTCTGACTTGTCTGTTAAAAGCTAATGAAATGGTTCTTATTAAACCCAGTTACATTTAACATTGTAATCATGAACAAGTTCTCAAAAAAAAATTCTTCTAATTTAAAATTTACTTTCCTTTACATGGAGACAGGCATTAACTCTTTCCTAAAATCTAAAATATTATTCCTCAAATGTTTGATATGACTGTATGATACTTACATTATGTTTCATTAAACACCAATAAAATACCAAAGCATCATTATGTAGTTTTTAGGCCCCCTAGCAGTAGACAAGAGAAAAATTAAATCTTCAAAAAATTTCAAATGTAATCTGTAAATATAATAGGATCCCAATCCAAAATCTACTGATGGAGGTCATGGGAGCCTTCCCATTTACTTGCAGGTGCTTTGGGATAAGGCACCAAGATAAATCTTAGCAAGAGAAAGAAGAGAAATGAAAACTTACCCATGAATTCAATTCCTAAATGGTCTGCTATACCCAAGAAAGCATGTAAGAGAAAAAAGAAAAAAGAGACAGAAATGTTAGAAATAGACTAAAATGTAACTATCACCTTTATCATCACTGATAGCATTCAATATTTATATGGCAGAGTTGCAGAACGCAATGCGGGGTCAGGGGCCCACCGTGTGGGTACTGGTCAAAAAGAAAGGCAGAACCCTGCCCTTCAAAGGGGAATCCTACGACGGGAATTCAGGGCATGAAGCTGTCACAGAAGTGAAGTGTATTTGGGGAAGGACACGAATGCCTTTACTTGTTATATTTACATTTGACTGAAGTGCCACAAGCCAGCTACTAACAGGAATTTCATTTTCTCTTCCTCCTGAAACTCCTCTCTCAACATGCTAACTATTATCACTAGTTAGACAAGGATCTTGCGTTCATTTTCTCTGACAGAGATCAAAAGCTAGAGAGATGAATGGAAAGCTTTTCCTGAGTTTTGCAGCTCTCACTACAGCACAGTGGTCACACTTGCACCCAACACGATTGCACAACTGTCACCTGTTGTGCAACAGAAAATTCGACTTCACAGAATAGTAGCCATATTCCCTACTTTGCCATCTGATTGCACTAATTTCAAGACATTTACAACCGAAGGAAGAATTTTAATGTCTTTAGAATATTGACTGAATTTACCACATGGAGTTCAAAACAATTCAGGACCCTTTTTTCACCTGACAACCTAGAATACGGTATGTCTCTAATAGACAGATGTTTTAGTGCAAAGTAGATTTAAATTGATAGAAAATGTTTATTAATATTAAGTTGAAAGGAGTTATGTTTAAGTTGTTATGCAATTAAAGAATAACAAATTTCCATCCTGCAGGGACAGGGCAACAGAAGAAATGATAACTGACTTTTCAGAACTGAGGGTGTAAAGAGTAGTAGCTTAAAGTTCAAACTGAAACTCTGGAAGGTCAGACATTCAGAAAGGCTGCAAACCACAATTCATTTCTACATGAGGCTTGAAATATTTTGCTTTTTTTGTGGGAGGCAATTTGCATTATAAAGAACATAGAAAGATTTTTTTTTCTGAGTAAATGTGATATTTTCCTTTCTTTTAATAAAAGCAAAATATTTTAATTGTGTTTGTCTTCCTTTCAATTTATAGTCACATTTCCTTAATATAGAACAGATTAATACACGATTTTGCCAAAGTTTCCAAGTGCAGTGTGCGTGGAGAGGAAGGCAGTACGGAAAGAGCGGGAGGGTTACAGGAAAGACAGAGCAAGACTGCTATGTTGGCTCATGCTTGGATCTGTTGGGAGGTACTACTGGGAGCTGTGTGAAACACTCGGTCCCATTAACTAATGTACTGCAACTTTCAGAAGTCTGCTTAAGAACTATATAGCAAATTTAAAACAAGATCTTGCAACATAAACCAACAGTACACTTTATGAATTGTCAGCTCTGGTACCTGTGACAAGAATGTGAAATATTTGGGTTTCTGTTGAAAATACTGGGAGTGAATCACCCTTTGCAATCTTTCAGTCCTTTCAGGAGAAGGCACTGAGCATCACCTTGCTCAGTTAACTTTGCACGCAAATCTATATAATAGTTGCTAAACTCCATATTTATCTTCATGCAGGAGACACAATACGCATCTCAAAAGAAAAGAACTTAGATGATGCTATGTGGTGTAAATACCTCATTAGCATGGTGTTAGGACAGGTACAAGTCTAGCGACACCCAAATTAATATTTCTTTTTGATATTTAATACATAACTCAAAATCATACATATATGTATTCCACATTGCAATCTTCGAATCTGTATTCTTGCATTCATGTACAACTGTCACATACAAACATCCTTGGTGCATTTGACACAGGGACGTAATTTTTGTAGCAGCAGGAGATCAGAAATATCAGAACTGCATTCAACATACTATATTCACAGATATTTGTAACTTGAATTCTCCTCTAATTTTCCGTACTTGTGAAATATGCAAATTTATCTGCGTGCAATTCACACCTCGCATCCTTCTGTAAGCTAGATCAAGATGCAGTCACCAACTCCTTACTTTTAAAAATGATAATGAAGATCAAAGCACTGCAATCTGGTCTCCAAGGAGCTAAGGATATTCACATACGAAGCAAGATCATGTAACATCATCTTTTTCAGTCTATGCAGAACAGCTCATAAACAGCCCTCCTTTCCTAACTAGGTTATACACGTTCTCTACACGTTTTCCATTTGCAGCCTGCAATCTCCTCATTGAGTTCACCAATACAGTTAAAAGTCACTTTCTCAAAAGATGCATACAAAATACACCTTTCTTATAAAAAAATGGAAAAAATTATTTTAGTTCATTTTTGAGTGGTTTACACGTAAGTGAGAATCAAGGGTATTTCTAGCCTTCCTGGGAAACAAGTTCAACTGGAGAAGGTGGAAACATGTCAGGTTATTTATTTTATATTTTATATTTTATCTCACATGCCTAGAAAGCAACTGCAGCAACCAGCGTAACGTATATCAGTGACAAAGCTGATTTAAACAGATTATGATGAAAGGATATCTAATGGAATAAACCTTTATCCAAGCTGCCAATTTATATCATTAAGCACAATTCAACAAGCTCTGCGAGCAGCTATCCGGGAACAGAACATAATAAAATTGTAATTCTTGTGGATTCAGTGCATGCTGGCACTGGTGCAGCCCTCTCGCCCTGCTGCTGTGGCACACGTACAACTGCAACCGCCTCCCATCAGAGACTATACACTGCAAACAAATCTTCCACGCCACCTGATGCCATGCAAGTGCTTCTCAAATGCAATAAATCATGGTCAGTGCTTTGTTTTTTCCCCTTTCCCTCCCTCCTCCTCTTTTTGCCATTGCAAAAAGCCTTGTAACGTGACCATTCTCTGTATCCTTCCCTGGTTTAAGTGTCAAGCTTCTGTATTTAAAAGAACAAAAGACACTCTGATCCCCAAACCAAGAGTGGGCCTGGCACTGCTACTTGGGCTGCTCTGAGACTTCAGAAGGGAAAAGAAAAAAGAAAGAAATATCCTCTTAAGGCTGAATGTACTCACATTTTTCCCCTTGCTGCAGAAATTCAGCTGCACTCACAACTTATCAAAATCCTGACTTTGAAACTTATTTTCCTCAGTACAAATACAGCCCCTGCAGAAGGGGCGTTTACCAAAGCGTTCAGCATATGGAATAGAGGACACAAGGCAATGAAAAGTGCTAGAAGAAATGTCAGCAGTCATTAAAATAATCATACCTGTTGCTTGGCTCTTAAGGTTTACTCCACTAGCTACCTAAAACAAAGCCAAAAAGCATATCTTTGCATCTGAAAAAAAAACCCCAAACAACAAACAAACAGAAAAAGAGAGAAAACAACTGCTTCCAACTTCCAAGCCCCAGTCCAAGCTGGCCCCTGCCAAAGGCCACCTCCACGGCCCACACATACCTCTTGGGAAGACAGAAAACGAACGCCAGCTCTTTTGGAGTGGAGCCTTTAGACTGCAGCTTGCCATTTCCAGCAGAGGAGCAAGTGGACTCTCAGACAGGTCAAAGGGGCCAGAAACCTCCTGGCTGGAAATGCAGCGGAGAGACGAGTTCCCGGGGCTGCTCTTCCCACCCTGCACCCAGCAGGGAAAGGAGGGGTGGGAAGAAGCACATGGAACAGGTCATGACCATGATCAGGCTGCCCCTTGGTGACCAAGCATCAGTCTAGTGGTTACTCTCACTTGTGCTGCTGTGGTGAAAAGAAATGATTTTGCAAGCTCCAGTTTTGGAGATGGGTTTCCCTCCTCTTAACAATGGCAAGAAGCTCTCCCAGCAGGTCCACGGGACAGACAGGCATGGTATGGGAACTGTACAGCGGGGGCAAAAGAGGGGAAAGTGACCTGTAGTGGTGACCTGAGACTGAACTAAACACACAAATGTAAAGTATTGACGCCTGACATGCTGCGGTGTAACAAAGGACTGTTATATCGCTATACAGTCGTGATACGTAAATGATAAATTGGCCGCAGAGCACTTCCTTGGACACGGCAAGTGCAATCCTAAGTAATTCGCCATCAAGTAATGCAGTTTCCTTAAGGACTCAGTTCAAGAAAAACGTATATGAGAGCTGCTAATGTGCTGAAGCGTGGGCGCTGCTCCGCAAGATGGGGTCATTAACCCAATAATGCGATTGTATTTTATTTTTGTTATTGCGATTTCTTCTTTCTTTCTGGTATTGTTATTTTCTTAGGAACTCATATATTACTCAGAGAGGAAGATTATTCACTTTTAACATTTTATTTTATGAACATTTCCGTATTTTGTTGTGGATGTGGGAAAATACTGTGCCTTATGGTCCTTGCACTATGTGAATTTGTTGCTAGTATTAAAGCCATTTTAATTTATACTTTATGAGTACATACACACCTGGGAATACTTGATAACAAGCACAAGAGAAGATAAATTCGCACTCACTAATGGATTAATTTATTAGTGCTTCACACGGAATATGCTGTCTTGTCTCTGGATTGCGGTTTGCTGGGGCTTTTTTCTTAGTCATATTAACATGGTGATTTTTCCCCAGTTACAGACAGGTTTCATTATCCCAGCTACATTTGAAGCTACAGAATGAACAGAAATATAAAACCAACATGAAAATCTTACTGATCAGAGAAGAAAAATCTCACATGAAAACACTCATTGTCGATCACTACAAACATTTTAATCTAAGGACAGGTTGACTTTGGCATGGAGACGGCTTTAGGAAATCAGTGCAACAGCAAAGGATTTTGCTCTGCAAATGAAATTTATCAGCTCAAAAACTCAAAAGATTTGTTAAATTGTCCTTGGTAGATCATTGTCTTGAACAAAAAATGCAACATGATAATATGCTGCAAGCTACCTTGGGACAGCTCAAGTACTCTGAACAGATTATCTGGCTGGAAGGAACAGGACAAAGTTTAACTCTTAAATATCAGACTGATCCAACTTGGTCTGAAATGGAGAAAAAACCTTCCATCC